AAATGACTTTCTAACTTTTTTATTCCAGCCTGTACAGCATATATTTACATCATTTTTCAGAAGTATGATAAAACAAAAACGAACTATTCTATTTCCTTCATTCATTACGGAGGAGATACATATGAGACCGAAAGAAACAGATTATTTCAGACAGTTACAACAATCTCTCCATCATTTCGTCATTTAGAAGATCACCAAAAGACTACATTTCTACTAAGATCACAAAACCCACTAATTATGCAGAATGTGGGACTATTCATTATCCACTGCCTTCAAAGAAGAAGTCGAATCCCATAATAGCTAGCGTAGTAGTAGAAGTAGAAGTTTTTCCAGACAGATTGTTACCTGTCTCCTGTTACTGTATTGCAACGAGTATTATACTTGATTGTACAAGCAATTAGCCTTCGGGCATGATTTTGCAAATAAAGTTTATTATTATATTTTGATGATGATGATGATGATGATGATTGGTTTATTAAAGATGAAGCACAATCTGACATGGCAGTCAACAGACTGAATTACGCCAGACTTTACAGTAGTTTTAAAATCAGTTAAATTAATAAAATCACAGCTTAAAATATAACACATTATAAATATTTACGGTTCGTTCCACCATTGTCATACATAAATACATAAAATCTGTTACAATATTTAAAAAACGTCTACAGTCCATTCAGTAACTTTGTCATTGCAGGGATTGCACTAGTACAAATAACTTGGGTTAGGAACACTTTTCAAGATAAAAAGCCAGACACTGTGGAACGCCAAGAAACATGTTCTCTTCGGTACAAAGTTGTTCTAATTTGACTCAAGCCGTGGACCCAATGAGCTGTGAGAAGCCCTTTCGCAAGTTCTTGTTGTAGTAACCATATATGACTGGGTTTACTCCACAGTTGATGAAAGCCAACCCTTTTACAATTGGCGAAACGTAATGGTACAGAATCTCAGCTGTGGTGTCTGTTAGGTTGGAAAAGAGCGTGGCAATGAGCAAGGAATAGAGAGGAAGCCAGGACAAGGTGAACACCACAACAACAACTAACAACATTCTGATGACGTGGAGTTTCTTTTGTGTGTCAGCAGGACAGCTTATCTGTGGTACAGACGGTGTGTGTATGGTGACGGTGTTAGACTGGGAACTGTAGGAGACGAAAGGCTCCCCACTTGTTGCAGCTCTACCGTGGTTCGTTCCCGGTTTGGATCTGTTCCAGATCGACCTGCCAATCTTTATGTACAACAAGGCAATGATGAACAAGGGGAAAACATAGCATATGGCAAATAGGAAAAATGTGTATCCTGCTACGTAGTAGTCCCCGGGCCAGACCTCTTCACAGGCGGTCAGGAGTTGTCCGTCTTCCGTGTAAAGGCCCTCGTAGGTGACGCTGGTTAGGACGAGGCCCTGGGGCGCGGATGTAGCGGCCGCTACGATCCACACGGCGGAGAGGATGTACATCATCGCTGTCTTGGTGAAACGCGGGCTGGTGGGGTGGACAACTGCGTAATATCTGTCGGAAAAAAGAGATTTGTATATGAATTAAACAGTCCATGAAGCTAGTCTCAATCAAAACAGTTTAGTTGCTGAAAAACACGAGGGTTGTTTACCAAAGAATCTGCCCTTAGATTTGGAGTTCGTTGAATTTTGGAGCAATCAACAGGATTAAAAAATGGAAACTTTCTTTCTGTGTTTTGTCTAGACTATAGACTTGCAAAATATCAACTGCCTATTTCATACTGATTTAGTATATATCACATTATATGGCTAGATTTTGATTTTCTCCAAAAGTAGGTGCAAAGATTATTGAGTGCTCACCTGTCCACGGCAATGGCGACGAGAGTGAAGACGGAGGCAGACACGGACAGAACCCGCACCGTGAGGAACGTCTTACACATGGCCTCGCCGAATGGCCAGCCTGGGGAGATAGATAGACGATTAGTACAGTAACGACTGGTTAACCGTAGTTGCCTTCTATCTTTAGTAAACATGTGTACAGTGTTTGTAAAGTCATACAACAGTAGATTTTCTGAACGTCATAGCATAATCGTGATGTTCTCATTTATAATGTTTCATCATATTCAAATTTGATTTTTGTTCATTTGCACTCTAATCATAATACTTCAGGGTTCATCATGTCTTTATCGTGCTAATACATGAAAGAATAAGAATAAAAATGGGGTAAATCCCCATGTTTAATGTCATTTAATGCCATGAGATCTATGCGTACTTTGTTTTGATACAGTGTACTAGTTCTTTAAAAGGATTCTCTCATTTACTTTCATTTCAGAATGACTAATCATAATGCTACAAATGGACCAAATTAACGCCTATATTTTAAATGTCGTTCTCTATCTATCCGTCTTCATCTACGATTCTGGAGGATAAAAAATGCTGTACATCAACTCTTACTCTTCGTAGAGCTTATTCTAACAATGCTGATTTTAATCACTGTTTCAATGACAACAAACTAAGCCCACGGCTAGAAATGCGTCCCATTCTTAAGTCTAAAATTATTGAAAATTTCTTCTTTCTGGCGATACTTAAAGATAAAAGTGCGCAACATGACTATGAACGCTCACTTGTCAAGATGCTGTCCGCCAGGTTGAACGGCAGACTGAAGACTCCGACCAGCAGGTCCGCCGCGGCCAGGTTGGCGATGAAGAAGTTGGTGACGGTCCGCATGTTTCTGTTCAGAGCCACCACGACTATCACCAGCAGGTTCCCCACCACGCACAGCAGGAACACGGAGAGGTACGCCAGGATGAAGACCACGATGAAGGCCGTGCCCTGCTTGTATTTGTCGAAGAAGAGGTCCTCGTGATCCCACGTGCCGTTGTGGTCGTCGTGTCCTGCCGCGATGGAGGATTCGGAAGGGCCGGTTTCGTTCTCCATGTTTCAAGCCTCGGCGATTTCCTTTGCTTCAGTTGGCGACGTCTACTGTAAAGCGAAACACATGTCACATCGTGTCAACATAACTTCTTTCCACATGATCTGCATATACTATATATACTAATGACTGACCCAGGGCTCCGCGAGTTGCGTAGGCAAACGTCCTTGGCATATAACTAGGCCATAGCACGTAATTTGTATGGATAACATCAGCGCATTGATTTTAGTCTGATTTTGGGATAAAAAAAAATCGTTGCCCTCTGACAGTGGTCAACATACCAAAAATTGACAACAATGTCTGTTGCCATGCCGGAACGTGGATGGCAGATAAATATGAAGAGAGGAGACAAAACAAGACAAGGCTCTGCCTCTGGTTTATTGTTTTGTCTTTTACTTTGCTGCAGTGATTCATTCCTTTTACATGTGATGTCCCCACTGAATCAAAAACCATTTGTGCAGTGGTTGATTTTTCAGCGACAATGGATGTTGTAATAGTTGGCAGTAAACTTAGCACAATATAGTCATTTCTTTTTTAACAAGGTTTATGATGTCAAAATTTGAAAATGTAGGAATCTTGTTTTCTTGGCCCGCCTTGTTTTTCCCTACCCTATCATATTAGATCTGGACTCTACGGTGAATATCATCCATAAGATTTACTTGCTGTGGCCTTAGACGTATAGAAACGCCACATCGAATGACAGTTGTATAGCAACATTAGTCTTAGATTTCTAGTTACTAAACTGATGAGGGCAGAGGGAGCGGCGGGATCAAGAGATGGAAAGAAACGGGAAGCCAATGGAGGAAGCTCGAAGCCGAGCGGACACCCCGCTGGTCACGGATCAGAATTACGGATAAAGTGAGGGGCACAACCCGCCGTGCGTGTTTTTTGTCCCAACGTCTTTTATTTTCTGGGAGGCCACGTCCGCCACGTTTTTCTAAGAAAACGAAGAACTAATGGGAAGAGAGGGTTGGGAGTGTACGTCACTCGCACGGCTAACACTGTTTGCTCCTGAGGGTTGCTGTTGTAAGATGGTGAAGCCATGGAACATTTATCCTAAATCAATCAATAAATTTTTTTTATATACTTCATGTTCACCGCAAAACAAGGCTCATGGGAGCCACTCAAATGTTTGGGTTACTGTACAGAAAGTGAGGACAGATGTTTGTTAACAGATGTTTCTTGTTACCTTAGATTAATCCTACATAGTATTTGATAGGCTTCAAAGACCCAATCAAAATCAGACCCCGCAATTCAGAACAAGTCACAGCACTATGGGCCCAAACCAACACCACTGTATTACCGGGCTCAAGAGCTTTTTACCGTTACAAAATAATGAGCATATCATGTTTAGCACACGAGATATTGAAAGAAGATCTGTTGCTGTACCATAAAAAGCCAGGAGGTGTACAATCAAACTTTTCCTTCGTTGTTGCCGACACCTACATATATCAAATATCATACGGGCCCACCCTAAGTATCTGATACCAGCTCAGAAAAGAACAAGAAGTAGTGACTGTCATGCCTTCAAGTACCAGAGTTATCAACCAAGGATTGAGGTGTACAAAAACTCATTCTTCCCTAGAACTATCGCAGAATGGAACTCGCTGTCACCAAGTACAGTAGGGGAATTATCATTAGATAGCTTTAAACAATGTTTAGAGTTAAGGCCTGGTCACACTGGGCGAACTTTGCTGGAGCGTTCCTTTAACGGTAGGGACGGGGGCCGAATTTCGACAACGCTCGTCACCGCGCCCAAAATGTGGGGAAAAAAAATTAAAACACGGGCGTTGGCTTAGCGGTGCACCGCTGAATCCGGCGTTGCTTTAGCGTTGGTTTAGCGTAGCGAGCATTGCTTTAGCGGTGACGCGAGCGTTGGTATAGCGGCGTTCTGCGCATGCGGTTTAGCACCATACCGCTTGTGATGTGTGTCGACTACGGATCGTTTTGTAGTAGTGCAAGTTCTGTTCTGTGTGTGGGGGGACTTTTAGCTTTAATAAACATCATTTTGTTCATCTATTCTTGACTACGTTATTTACTCAATAATGAAAATAAAACTTTGCAGATTGCAAAGTTCCCCTGTGACCCCAATAAAGTGATTGCCCGTGTGACCCTTCTATGAACATTTTACGTGTGGCCCCAAAATAATTGCACACTAGTACACCAATCATAGCAAGTCTTTCAGCATCCATGGTGATACAGTTTTGCTGTAACTTCCAACAAATTCGATATAGATGAGGCAGCTCGATTCCAAATGAGCACCTGGTCCATTTCTATTTATAGCCAAATTCTGGTCCCGCTCTGACACCTCTATACCAACGCCAAACCAAAATTCATTGCCGACATGGATCGCTGCTTCAACGCCTGACACCGTTCCAGCAACCCCGTGTCCGTTCGTAAAACGCTTGCAACCGCTCGCAATATTTTGTGCAGCTCAAAACTTTCGGAGCGGTAGGAGGGCCACTCCAGAAACATCAGCGGTGGCTGGGCGTACACGGCGTTGCTTTAACGGGGGCCAACTTCTGTTTAGCGGTGGTGAGCGGTTTCGAGCGGTGATGAATTTTATTCACCGTTCAAGGAACGCTCCAGCAAAGTTCGCCCAGTGTGACCGGGCCTTTAGATGTTTAAGGGTTAACGAGTCGCGTTCCTGCGAAGCTGGTGAGTTACGCCGAAGGGCGGTTATATCGGCTGTACAGATACAGATACACCTACAAGTTCTCGAGTTCTGTTGTTCACAAACACACACCACACAAACACCCACAGACGGCAACGAGAAACAACCGTTCCGGCTAGATCAACCACATCAATAGCCGCAATGAAAAGCAAAGTGCCCGAAGGTCCGCCATTGACGAAGACTGTACGTAAAGATACCGAAGAACATTGTATTTGGTTACACACTCTATTACGCTATATGGTGGGGTGTCACATTTTCAAAGTACTATCAAGATACTTTGCTGTGTATATCAAAAGACAGTCGGTAAAAAAAAACACAGAGAACACACAAAATAATCGATTTTTCCACTTTGACTAAAATTGAGCACTTTTCCCTCCCTAAGACCTACCCAAACATGTAATCAACAATGTTACACGTCGCAGAAAATATATGGTCATCACAAAGGGGTATAATTCTAAGGCAAATTTATAATATGAAATAACATGAAAATCACCGATGAATAACAGAGATAAAAGGGAACATGCCTAAGATTCTGCATATTTTTCATGGGTTTTCAATTCGCCACCAATTTCATGGCAATGAAAAATGGACAAAATCAACGACGAAAACACGTCCGTCCGTCCGTACGTCTGCCCGTTTTCTATAGCGCGCGACCTAAATATACCCGTGCATTCAACAAGAAACAGTTAGAAATTAGCCAGACAGCCAAGGTGTTATTTTTTTTTTACAAAAAAAAAAGAAGTAAAATTCATCGTTTTACCTAACTACTGAAGACTTCACCATGATTCATGATTTTCGCTGTTAGACAGGCGGTTATCTCCAGAATAACATAGAAATGCACAAATCAGTACATAGCAAACAAAAACGCCAATCATTAACAGGTAATTTCTACCATTTAGTTTTACATATCTGACCCCAAGCGGATGAAATTCATTTTCTCTTTCATTCTATCAAAAGGAAGGAAGATAGTCCTCAACTTACCGATTATTTGGCACCGAAGGTTGATTCTAGACTTGCGCTAAGCCAGCAGAGCTGAAGTCAACAGACCTGAAGCCAACAGTTCTGGTCCGGACTGTGCCGTGGTTAACGAGACGCTGCAGATATAAAGTGTGCGGCGCGATGAAGGCGGTTACGTGGGGGTCTCTAATTGGCAGGCTCGGCTCACCGACCTGTACGTAATGTTATGTTTACAGCAATTGGTCGGCATAGCAACTCTAACGTAGTGGAAAATCCTTTCGCACATTTTCTCATTTGGCTATGGTCATAAACAAAATAAGATGTAAACGTGTCCGAATTCCCATCGTTTTGTTAAAATTCATTTCTGAATAACGAAAAAAATGTGATGACTGCAAATACAGATATTTCTACATCGCCGATTATTACAAATCATACAGCCTAGTACATCTACATGTACCTGAATGAATAATGATTACTTTTTTATTATACATGTATATCGTAAATGACAGTGAACTAGAACTAGAAAAAGGGGCTTATACTGAACCAGAAGGCTACAGTGGAAAACGTTAGTGGGGTCGCCAGAACAGCCAACTTCGACATCTTCATCCCATGGGCTATTCATTGATAATTCAAATAACTGCAAATATTGCATATTTTAAGAACAAAATTTGCTGATGATGCAGCTTTGTGTACTGGACTGATGTATGTCTCTGACATTTTTACGATAGATTTTAATGACGTAAAAGAAACTTGTTCTGAATCGTCATGACTGTATGTGAATTGATGACATATTTTGAGCGACTAGTTCCGTATATACCTCTTTCATAAAAGTATTTGTCTCTGTTGTTGATTGAGTTGAGCTGGCTATATCAGATAATTCCCTGACTTTGGAAGCACAAAAAGTATTTTGCCAAGGAAAGTCGCATAAAATGTTCTTTTTAATGAGTTATTAGCACCAATCATAGTCTGAATTACACTTTAAGCAGCTACAGTTGCCTGTGTTACCTTATCGCTTTATACTTTGTTTTTATCGTGTTTATTGGACCGTGTAGTTACGAATGATCACCAAATAAGGGGTTCAGCTCTTGGTGGCTATAATCTGTAAGATGGTGAGATGGGTCGTCATGTTGATTGTATGAATATGGATACTAACAGGGTCTATGACCTGCCCTGAGGCATAAACGTAAGAAACGTGGCTTCGAAGTTAACGTTATTATCATATATCAAACTGAAATTTGAGTGACCCAATTGTGTAGGCGAACACAACAACAAGAAGTATAACATACATGTATAGATCCACTACAATACCTCACGGTGGCTACGAAACCTAACATTAGAAATCATAGAAGCTTCTAAATTTCTGTGGTCGGTTATAGATTTCATTAACATGTGACAG